AATGAAAAGATCCCGCAAATCGGCCAACTTCTCAACGTCTATTAGAGCGATTTTTCGACGTGAATCAGTTGTGGATCGATTCACCGCCACTGGAATCAAAAAAAAAATGATTTGACACCTAATTTTAGTGGCTAGAGTTTGTCTAGAGTTTTGTCTGGCTAGAGTTTGTCTAGAGTTTTGTCTGGCTAGAGTTTGTCTAGAGTTTTGTCTGGCTAGAGTTTGTCTAGAGTTTTGTCTGGCTAGAGTTTGTCTAGAGTTTTGTCTGGCTTAGGTTTGTCTAGAGTTTTGTCTCGCTAGAGTTTGTCTAGAGTTTTGTCTGGCTAGAGTTTGTCTAGAGTTTTGTCTGGCTAGTGTTTGTCTAGAGTTTTGTCTGGCTAGAGTTTGTCTAGAGTTTTGTCTGGCTAGAGTTTGTCTAGAGTTTGTCTAGAGTTTTGTCTAGAGTTTTGTCTGGCTAGAGTTTGTCTAGAGTTTTGTCTGGCTTAGGTTTGTCTAGAGTTTTGTCTCGCTAGAGTTTGTCTAGAGTTTTGTCTGGCTAGAGTTTGTCTAGAGTTTTGTCTGGCTTAGGTTTGTCTAGAGTTTTGTCTGGCTAGAGTTTGTCTAGAGTTTTGTCTGGCTAGAGTTTGTCTAGAGTTTTGTCTGGCTTAGGTTTGTCTAGAGTTTTGTCTGGCTAGAGTTTTCATATTGTTATTTAAATGTACAAAGGAAATGTGAGATTGTAAAGAGCAAAAAAATTAGTGTAAATATTATTAATAGTTTTAGATTTTAGCTGATTTACAGCTCAATTAAAAGGTTTGTAAAATGGTTGAAATAAAAGTTCAAAGATGATTTAATAAACAAGAATAAACTCACAATTCAAGCAATCGATCTTCTTCCCAAATCGCCAAAGTTTTGAATGAATTGTGTAATTGATTGGATAAAATACGTGTCCTTTTCTTTGAAATGATGATCGAGGCATCAAATAGATCTCTCCATTCATATCGATCTCGAAATAATCCCTGTGAATGGGTTTAGTGAATGCATTGACAGCAAGGTAACCTGAAAGTTGGGTTTTAGGTGTAAATCTGTTTCAGAAAGCATTTCTGTTTGACTACAGTTTGACTACAGTTTGACTACAGTTTGACTACAATTCAGTTTGGCTTCTATAAAAATTCTCAACCTTGTAGCTCTTTTTCATGAATCTCATCACTCTGAGCTGCTATTCGAAGGAATTCTTTTCGACAAAACAATGCTGTCTTTGTTGATGTGTATTCTGTAAATAAAGTTTTGTTTAAATCTTTTTCATTGTTTAAATCTTTTTCATTGTTTAAATCTTTTTCATTGTTTAAATCATTTCCATTGCTTAAATCTTTTCCATTCATTCATTTACCCAATATTAAAATATCAACACTTCCAGTGTATTGAAAATCGCATTTTAATTGTGCATTGTCATCACTTCTGGGTGATGCTCGAGTGTTCGGAAAGGTGAATGAAAGAGTCTGAACTTAAAGTGAGTGCTTTGAATTTCAATTAACAATAAATCACTTTAACAATAAGAATTTCATAGTCATTCTTTCTTTAACAAAAAAAACGAAATAAAAGACTAAAATCCAAGAATGGTTGAATGAAAATGAATTGAATGGCCTCAAAAATGCTCACAAATACAGAGATTACTCCAAACAAGCAAAAGTTCAAGTATCGTCTCTTTATACTCAAAACACGAATTATCTAAAATTAATTGAAGATTAAACTTTCTGAAAAAACTGAAAACAATTTAACTTCCTCACATTTTTCAATAAATTACTCATCGGAATTTCAATAAAAAGCACAAAGTTTAGAACAAAAAAAGTAATGTTCAATTGAAATGGGAATCTCTTCAAATAGATAAAGATAAGACTGAAAAGGGGTGGGAATTGCACATAAAAGAAAATGAAGAAGGGGAACGGGGAAAGGATTTGCCAAGGGATACAGTCATCTGGAGACGAATAAGGAGACACGCCTTTGTCATCAAAGAAATCAAAAGCCTAGCTTCAATTGATCAATGAACAAAAAAGCTCGAATAACTACAGAGCCGGCTCCCTTGTAGGGCTCGGGATCCAGACTCGGGCCTGGATTTGACCCAATTTATGATTATAATTAAATCTGTACTCGACATATTGAACGGTTGAATATTTCCTCTGTGTATCTCACGTGTATCCGTGTAGAATTTAATCATTTCTATTGGGTTGGGGAGAATGAGTCGGCGCCGAAAATCAAAGAAATTTCTAAAACTTATAGCAGACTTTGTCAAATGATATGCGTTTGATATCCGTAGAAGGGTAACTAATTCTCTACAAAATAATATTTAAAAGAGAACTCAAACAGCGCCTCAACTCAACAAAGGATCATTTTTTTCACAAAATCGATAAACTGTCATCTAGAGTAAACGGTTGGAGGGATCTTCCTGAAAATTTGGTAACTTATGTAATTGAGTGTGCTCTATCTTTTTTATATAAACACCAAAGGAGGTTTATGTGGAAGAAACTGTTCAAGCAATGAGTCGGACTTTTTGTCATTTTGATTAGCTGTGTATGGGAATCCATAAAATCCCAAAAAAGAAAAGCTTTGTGAAATCTCTTAAAAGCCATTTTGTAAAGAAATAGTGGACCATTTTGATGAAACAAAAACGTGTATTTAAAGAAGGTTTTATGGGTGCAAAAAGTTTCTTTAAATTTCGGCGCCGACTCATTCTCCCCAACCCAATAACTCAGAAATTCTTTTGAGAAGCAGAAGCTAGCTCAATTTAGTGTCTGTACTAGTAGTTACCGGATTTTCTCTAATAGTAGTGCACCCTGAGCGTTGCCTAAATTCCTCGAAATCTCGAGAAACGCTTATCAGAACCTATCGATGTGGGGTCGGAAAATGTAGCTGACGATGAGATCTTGTGGGGGATTTGAGTGTTGAGTTTCTGCAAAAGTTTGGAAACTGTAAAATAGTCACCAACTCGGCTCGGCGGGGTGTACTACTATTAGAGAAAATACGGTAAATCATTTAGTTAAAACAAACTTTCCAAACACAAAAACGCAAAAAATGGAGAGATTACATAAAGCTCAAATTCGATGCGTCACTTTTTGTTCAACAAATCTAGAGAGACCAAATCGGTGCGAGTTTTGCGAATCGGTAATTACACGAGAATTTCATCGTTTTTAAATCAATAAAATATTTTGGGTTAAGTGGATTTTTGAAAAAAAAAATGTAATATTGACCCTCAATTTTTGCATTTATTTTAAGGGATCACATTTTCACTCGATTTTTGTTTCAATGCTTTTTCCTCCGCAAATCCCTTGATAATTCGAGGTTCAGAATGCTTTCTCTATCTATTCTTTTTGATATGTACAGCGATTCATTTTTAGAGTCTGAATCCGAAATCTTTTAGCTTTTGATCTCTACATTGAATTCAATTTTTTGAATTGGATTTTGGATACCGATGAAAAGGTTAAAAGGTGAGTTTTTGATTTCTTTTTATTCTATTTTAAATTTTATTTCTATCTTTGACTTGAACGCATTATATTTATGTTTTTAGACAAAAGTTGGGTACTTGTGAGTCTTATGCCTGTAATATTTCAGCGGGATGCACTACTATTAGAACTATAAGTAAAGCAAGTCTAGAAGTCAGGCTAGTCTCATGCCTGTAATAAATTTGAAAACAATAAAAATGAGAAACATAGAGTGTTGCAAGACTTTTGCACCCAGTTTTTAGGGTATATTTTAGTAGTTTGGTTATTTACTTTTTTGTTTTACGCTGAACTTCAAATTTGTTTTTGTAAATAAAGTGTACATGTATTATTCTAATTAAAAACAAAAAAAGCCCCACGAAAGGGTGGCATTTTCTATGAAAAAATTTCAATTTTTTTGAAAAAGTGATGTTGCCAGACTTTTGCGCGGTATTGTACTTATGTTTTTAGACAAAAGTTGGGTACTTGTTAGTCTTATGACCGTAATATTACATAGTAAAGAGTAAACTGAAACTTTTTCATTCTTAATGTTGTTGCCAAAGTCTTAACATTTAGTTTTCAATAAAGAGTTCAAATTTTAAAGAAAAGAAATGCGTCACGATTAAAAGAGCTAAAAAGAACTGAAAATGTGTCATTATTGATTGCGCACAGTGCTGAATGCGTTTCAGAAATGAGAAAGTCAGTGTGAAAAAGTCAATAAATTCACTTTGTCTATTTCTCTCAGCTAAGCCGTTTCCTAAAAAGCATCTATTTCAAGAAATTACCGTAATCAAACTAGTTTTAATTTGGGGGTAGGCTACTTTGCGCCAAATTTTTTGTGCAACTGGGTCATTTGCGCAACTGGGTCATTTGCTCAACTCGCCACAACTTTCTTCTAAGTGAACCAATCTTTATGATTGTGGTTTCATTTTGTAGATCTCAATAAGTGCAACAAAATGAAACCAAAATCATAAAGATTGGTCCACTTAGAAGAAAGTTATGGCGAGTGGCGCAAACGATCAAGTTGCGCAAATGACCCTGTTGCGCAAAAAATTTGGCGCAAAGTAGCCTACCCCTTAATTTGATTAGAATGATAAGACTCAGTCAAAGATACAAAAATTAGACTGAGTGAATGTAAATGAATGAACTGACAGTTTGATTATGATAATTTCTAAAATAAGTGCCTTTTAAAAAGATTTTGAAAATATACGCGCCCCGCGCCTTTTACCATTAGCAAGCTAACTTTGAGCAACTTTGAGCTCAAATTTCTTGGTGTTGAGCTGTTCAATTTAAATCGTTTTTTATAAAAATCGACAGAGAAAGACTTGCCGCAACCAATGATACCAATAATTTATGAATTCGACAGCCCAACACCAAGAGATTTGAGCTCAATGTTAGATTGCCTATGGGAAAACGGTCAGAACGCGTATCAAATGTCCGATAACCATTTAGGAAACGCATTTGATTCTAGAATCTGACTCCTGAAGGATGTCCTTTCCTCGTCTCCATTTCATTCTCGGTGCTCTCATCCTCTACACTTGTTTGTACGAAATGGGGAAAAAATTCTACAATTCGGAGAGTCTATTTCAATTCGAGAATCCATTCACAAACATAAATGTTACATCTGAAAACAAGCAGTGAGTTTTTCTGCTCAAACATCAAAACATCCCTTTTCTGGCGCACTTATCGTTTTTAAATGTTGGCTGAATTAAGTGCACCAGATAGATTGCGTTTCCATTTAGTAAAGTATAATTTGATACCAAATCGCTTTTAGATTATCCTTCTCGGAGCGAAATTCCACCGTGAAACCTATCCAAATCCTCTATTACACTCAGCTTTTTATGAATCGAGCACAGCCGACATGGGTGTCGAATGAAAGATGTACAAATGTGGAACCAGTAAGTTTAGCAATTGAGCGAAATATGACTTATTTGTTAACTGATCAATTTCCAGCAAAGCTGTCTCATTCACAGTAATCGCGAATTCTTCAACGAGAGTGATGCGGTCGTTTTCGAGCCACGTTTCGCGAATATGAGGTTGCTTTTAAAATTAAATTGTTCTTTGAGTCTAGTTAATGAAAATGCACCCTTTCTAGCGCACTGAATGCACATTTCTGGTCACTTGCACTTCCATCACTTACAATAACTTTTTGATGTCACGAGAAAAGTGATGGTTAAAATGAAAGCCTAGTATTTAGGGGTTTACTTCTCGAGTTGTGAGAATCAAAAAAGTGTCTAGATCTGTAAGAATGTCAGATAATTTACTTAACAACTCAAAACTTTATTCTAAACTTTGTATTTAAAATTTTTTGAATCAAGATTATCAACAATCCCCCGGCGAGAGGATCAAATTTTCATCTTTTCCGTAAACGAATCCCCTCAGCGTTTTCGAAGGCCAGACAAAAGTGGTGAGTTTGAAATTTTTTAAAAATTTGGCTTGTATTCTAATTCTGATATATAATAAATTATATTTATTTACTATTTATATAAGTTTATTATATTAGGTTGATGCATAAGTCTTTTCGTTCCTTTTCGTCTGCCGTTTCAAGCCAACAAATGCACGAATTAAACTACGGTTGATTTCATTAGAAAAACCAATTATTTTTCTGCAAAATGACATTAAAACGGGTTTAAAAATATTTAATGCCTGGATTTTCTTGAGAGTATGAAGTCGGGTAGTCAAAAAGGGCTAACTCGATGATGCGGTTTAGACACCTTAGCTAAAGAAAACCTATCTTCGTGTCAATAGATAAAAGATAGAGAAAAAAAACGTTTGATATTTCGCCAAAATTTCAGAGAAATTCATTCAGCCAATTTTTCCGTAGAGTTTTTTATAGATTTTTACGAAAAAGGCGTTTTTCACTCTCGAATTTGCTTGAAAGTGAACCGAAATTCATTTAAAAAGATGCAAATTGAACAAAAAAACACTTTTTTTATAGAGCAAACTATAGATTAATTGGTGAATTTGTTACTTTTTAACAGAAGTACGAAAAAAACGAAAAGACTTATGCATCAACCTAATATATAAAGTGCAGTGTCTGTCTGTCTGTCTATACGGGCATTTTGTCGACCGTCTTTTGACCAATAAAGCTAAAACTTCTTTAGAAAAAGTTAGAATATATTGTAGTTGTGTCATTTAAAAGAAATTAAAAAAATCAAAGTTAGATGTTACCCGAGTCGAACCCTGGGCTGTAGGTATGCCCCTTGCCGACTGCGCTACAGTGACAACTACAGTGACACTGACAACGTCCCGTCTCCAAAACATTCGGCTAGAAAAACCCGCCGTTTTTCGAGTTTTTCGGCTGGTGTTTCACATAACTGTTTCAGAAAACTTTTTCAACGCTTCAATGTACTTTTTGATTTTATTTACTATTTATATAAGTTTATTATATATAAAGTGCAGTGTCTGTCTGTCTGTCTGTCTATACGGGCATTTTGTGAGCCGTGTTTTGACCAATAAAGCTAAAACTTCTTTAGAAAATGTTAGAATATATTGTAGTTGTGCCATCTAAAAGAAATTAAAAAAAACTAGAGTTAGATGATACCCGAGTCGAATCCGGGCCGCGCGGGCTGTAAGTAAGCCCCTTGCCGACTGCGTTACAGTGACAACGTCCCGTCTCCAAAACATTCGGCTAGAAAAACCCGCTGTTTTTTTCCACGGGTTTTTTAGGCTGATTTTTCTTATAACTGTTTCAGAAAACTTTTTCAACGCTTCAATGTACTTTTTGATGAGTTCCGACATTCCATTCAACAATCGATATCGATGGGTGAATCAAGAAACGGCTAAAAGAGAAGGTTTCACAAAGATAAAAAGCTAAATTAGATTCATTTTATTTTCTTTAATTCATTTTATATTCCAGGTCGTTTCTTCGAAGCAATTGGAATCAACGAGAGTTTTCTGGAACGTCCTCGAACGCATTTCATCAGTGCAATGATCGGGAATTGTCAGAGTACGCCAAGTGGACGGACGAAGCTCGTCAAAGCATTTGAAAGGTTAAATTTAATTATTTGGTGGTTAAAGAAGGACTAAAAGAGAATTGACAGCTTAAATGCAAATTTACAAATTGGAAAAAGTAATTTTGTCTATTTTGGAGAATTGTTGAGTTGAAAAGAGTAAATGACAGTAATTTGTGGATATTTTAGAATAACTTTTCAAAAGTAAATCAAAATAGATAGATTTTTATTCGATTTTAGACAAAATAGCTTTTATATATGAAGATATTTTCAGGCAAAACTATTTGAGTCTTTTTGGCGGATGTTCAGCGGTGAAAGAGCGGAAAAATGCGTGCGCGAAGAGTGAGGATTTGAAAACTTTAAAATAAAGTTCTTAAATTAAAATATACTTGAAATTTGATATTCTTTATCTCATTTTCCTCATCTCCACTGAAAATATTCGGCGTAGGCTTTCGCATTGTCCCGTAAATATTTTTTAGGAGATGAGCGCTGCGTGCAAGAACTTTTCGAAGACTCCTATTTCTATTTGGCTTTGGAGAACTCGGTTTGTATGGATTATGTGACGGAGAAATATTGGAATCGCACAACATATCATTCGATACCGATTTTATGGAGTAGAGAGGCGGCAAAGAATCAGTGGGTTTTAAGCAAAAAATTGAATTGAATGCTTGGCTATGCTAAATTGTTTAAGCAGGGATTTCCAGAACGACAATAATTTAGAGCCAAGCTCTTTAGCAACAATAGATCAGATGTCATGAAAGAGCAAGAAGACAGTTCATAGTATGAACTTCATACTAGGACTGTTCAGAGCAGGGCCAGGCCAGGCTCGATCCTGAGCTGGGCGCTGGGTTAGTCTTTTGGCTGAGCTGACCCACTTAACTTTAGGCTATGGTTAGAATTAGGAATAGCTTACTTGGATAGCTAACATTCTTCATATTTAAACGCTAACACACAACGAATTCTAGTGGAATTCCCGAGAAATCGGTGATTTACGTGGACGATTTTGAAACGATCGACACTCTTCTGGACCACTTGAAATATTTACGGGACAATGCGAAAGCCTACGCCGAATATTTTCAGTGGAGGTGAGGAAAAGCTTGGCATTGCCCCAGCTACCGTAAAAATAAAGAATTCTTCACAGAAATCTGGATCTTTTCATTGAGAAAAGCTATCATATGCAAAACCCAAAGCCAATTCGGTACTCTCTTTGTTCTTTTGTGTTCCTTGTGCTTGTCCTTGTGTTTCCTTTGTCCTTGTCTTTTGTGTTCCATAATCGCTTTCCATCTGATACACGCCCCGATAGATAGGTGTTCCCTTTTGGCATCCTGACAGGGAAAGGCGCAGTCAGCGACTGAGTTGGCTTCGCTTTGGGCTGAGCTGGGTTATGCCCAATTTGACACCCATCTCCGCCTCAAATTTGCCTATATTTTTGCTATAAAATCCACTGAAACCGGGTGTTGTAGTGGCTGAAATTTTGTTTTATTCGGAAAGAAAATGGAATGAGTTACGTGTTGGAGAAGTTGAAAAGACCCGGATTTCCGTGAAAGAATCCCACGTTCTAAAGTGCATTCTAAACTTTCACCCATACATCATATCTTTCCAAATCCATCCAACACAGCTCTCTCTGTTGTCAGCCATTTTTTTCAAACTTTTCTCAAAGACAAATTTTTCCAATTACCAACTCGAAATAGATGCTAATTTATGGGTTTAGCTGTAATCTCTCTCGCAAACTTTCCGATTTTCAGAAGAAATTACATGTTTATTCCCCACAAGGAGCCGCGAGAATGCCTATTATGTGAATATGTCCAAAAGAAACCCAAGAAAAAAGTCGTAGGTTTTCAATTTTTCACAAAAAAAAAGTTTCAAATTTCAAACTTAAATAAGAATTTGTTGAGGTTTTGTCGAGATTTCCTTCAAAAATTCCTTTCAGTATGCGGACATCTATCAGACTTTCGCTAAAGAATCTCATTGTCAGGCCAATTTTTTGGACAAATTTCAACAAAAACAGTAACCTTGGAGTTTTTTTGAAGTTTTTTTTCTTTGTTTTGCAAAACTCACACACAAAATACGGGCCACATTTTGTTTTTGAGATTTTTTGAAAAAGGAATAAATTCTTTCAATGTTTTCTAGCTTTCTATCATATTTGGCATCAAATTTAGCTTGTTTTACTGTAGATTTCAGTAGCAAAAATAAAAAAAATGCAACTTTTGCATTTTCAAATGTTTTGTTCATGATCAAACTACAACTTTTAATCGAAGGAAATTTGAGCTGCCAAATGTCCCTGAATCTTTTACAGAATGAAACTAATTACGATGGTTTTCTAAGGTAATCAACTAGGTTCTCTAAAAGGCTCAAAAACTACCGTAATCAATAAGTCAATTTCATTTCTGAGGTATCTTCTGGTACAATCGAATGTTCTTTTTCTAAAAAAGCAAATTTCATGGAGAAAAAAAATCAGTAAGATTAGTTTCTTGGAAAGCCCTTTTTTCTCTCTTCAATTCCTCTACAAATTTCTCGGAAAACTCTTTTTTAAGCGAACAAAATCCTGAGAAATTATGGGAAAATTTCCCATTTCGATTCACGAATTTACGGATTTCAAAGTTTTCTTTGGCTTTGGAATTGATTTCATAAGTCTAAATCGGTTCTAAAACACACTTTTTCACGGTTGAATTCACAGATTTTGCCCAAATAAACTTTGGACTTTAGTTTGCACAAAATAACTTTTTAGATATTTTCTATTTGGATTGTAGTTAGGAATTTTTAAAATTGTAGATTTCAGAAAATTGCTGCTCTTGGTTTCGTAGAATTTTCGACTTTTTGAAGCTTTGTTTTTCAAAAAGAATTCACTGCATTCTTTGAATTTCTTCAATCATCTTCATTGCTGAGAATCGTTTTTAGTTGAAGCGATTTTAAAACTTATTTCACTCACTTTATTATTCTATGATTTGTTCTAAAGTCGGCTACTATTTACTCTGCGAAACTTCAACTTTTGATTTGCAGTACTATTAGAGTAGCAAATAGTCATCTTACAGTTTGAAATCAGATTGGAATATAAATCCAGTAGCCGAGGTCAGAAATATTGCAACAGGCTGGCAGAGGCTGGTTAAGTCTTTTTGCTGAAGAAAAATTTTACTACCGTATTTTCTCTAATAGTAGTGCACCCTAGCGAGCCGAGTTGGTGACTATTTTACAGTTTCCAAGCTTTTGCAGAAGCTCAACACTCTAATCCCCCACTAGATCTCATCGTCAGCTACATTTTTCGACCCCACATCGATAGGTTCTGATAAGCGCTTCTCGAGATTTCGAGCAATTTAAGCAATGCTCAGGGTGCACTACTATTAGAGAAAATACGGTATTCACGTTGTTTTTTATAACTTTTGACTCTCATAAACTCACACTGACCTGATTAGCTGAGCTAAGCTCTCAGCCCTTCAAATTTACAGTTGACTCTCTCTAGAACGGAACTCTATATATCGGAAAACTCTAACGGAATTGAATATTGGTCCCGACCGACGCTAAGCGATATAAAACGGTACTCTATCTAACGGAAAATTTTTTTGCTTTCTTCCATCTATTCCGTCATAGAGAGAGAGTGAAATTTCCAAATTGCCGTATTTTCTCTAATAGTAGTGCACCCTGGCGAGCTGAGTTGATGACTATTTTACGGTTTCCAACGTTTTCGTAGAAGCTTAACACTCAAATCCCCCAAAAGATCTCATCGTCAGCTACATTTCCATTCCGTTATAGAGAGAGTCAATTGTATTTACAAACGAAAAATTGTATTGCCTCTTTTTTGGAATAATCATAACACAAAGTTACAACACGAAACGTACAAAATAAATAACAATAAGCATTGAACAAAAAGTTTTCACTCGAACAACACAAAGAAAAACATTTGTTTTTATATGGATTGCTGAGATGACAATAACTATTGCATTGGACAGTCTTCCGTTGGTACATCCACTCGTACAATTGCAATTTATATGCCTTAAAAACAAAATGCCCAGAAGCTCCGGTGAGCATAGAAGGGGATTGCAAAGGGGAGGCACGCGAAATATAACAAAACAATGGGAAATGATGAAAATATTCACACGGGGTCTAAATTTTAAAAAAAATCAAAATAAAATGTGACAACAAAACAAGGAAATGTACTTGTTTTTCCTTTCTTCTTTCAGTAATCGGCGAATCGTTGTTTGGCTCTCTTAGTTGGCTTCTCTTTGCAGTAAAACGACGGGCCGGGAGTCCATTTCTTATGATTCACTTGTTCACGACAACTTACTTTGACCTGGACGGCGCTTGGCGATTTCTCGTGAAGTTCCAACAACTCATCGAACAGTCATCGAACAGTTTGGCGATGGTGAGAAGTGAAAGACGTAAACAGAAGAAAGGCGTGAGAAAAATTGAAGATTTCTATGTAGAAACTAATTAGCTTAAAAATTTGCGCTGAAAATGCAAAAGTTATGAAAAAAATAGCGTGAATAGCAAAATTTTTCTTTAGCAAAAAGACTTTAAAGGGGGAATCAGATTTTTTCGGCAAAAATTCTCTCAAGCATTTTTATTTAATGTGCTGTGACCAAGAATATTTAAAAGTGAATGGGCAAAATCGATTGCATAAAGTTTATCCGTGTTTTATTTATAGTTTTCGAGGGTCCCAGTCTCTGAATTTTCAGTTTTTCAGCCCCTTCCTCAAAAAAATAGCAGATCGTTTTGCGAAATTCAAAATACCATTCGATAGCAAAACTTTTTGCGCATCTTTTAAAGTATAAGTGATTTGAAGTGACTTACTGGGTGGCGAGAAAATTTACAAAGTGGAGAAGGGGAGAGTACTCCTCCTAAAGTGTTCCCCTGTGGGACACCCATATTTAGTTGAATATTCTGGGATTTCTGGGCAAATAAAAGTAGTAGAACTAGAATTTTCGCATTTTTCACACAAAAAGTAAAGAAATAATAGTAATTAATTAAAATTAAAATTAAAATTAAAAATAGTAAAGGGGAATCGAGATATGAGTTAAAGGGACACTTTCAAAAAGTCTCCCCTTTCCTTCTCACCCTCATATCTCGGCCACATTTGGGTCTTTTGGATCACTTTTTTTTTCTAAAATATGTGCATTCAATTTTAGTTTTACTCTTTTGGATTGGAGAATAGATTGCTCGGAAGAATCGCAGAAAATTTCAACTGAAACCTACGGGGACACTTTAGGGGGAGTACTCTCCCCTTTCACACTTTGTAAATTTTCTCCCTACTCAATAAGTCTTTCGAAATGACTTATAATTTAAAAGATGCGCAAAAATTTTTGCTATTGAATGGTATTTTGAATTTCCAAAAAGGATCTACTAGTTTTTAGAGAATTTTTGTCGAAAAAAATTTTATCGAGGACAGAATCGAGGGTAGGCTAATTTGCGCAACTTGCCATAACTTTCTTCTAAGTAGACCAATCTTTATGATTTTGATTTCATTTTGTAGATCTCATTAAGTGCAACAAAATGAAACCCAAAATCATAAAGATTGGTTGACTTAGAAGAAAGTTGTGGCGAGTTGTGCATACGACCCAGTTGCACAAAAAATTTGGCGCAAAGTAGCCTACCCCCAAATGAAAACTGGCTTGATTACGGTAGTTTCTTGAAATAGATACTTTTTAGGAAACGGCTTAGCTGAGAGAAATAGGCAAATTGAGTTTATTGACTTTTTGTAAATTTTTTCGCCACCCAGTAAGTCACTTCAAATCAAAGTGCAACAAAATGAAACCCAAAATCATAAAGATTGGTTGACTTAGAAGAAAGTTGTGGCGAGTTGCGCAAACGACCCAGTTGCGCAGATGACCGTGTTGCGTAAAAAAAATTTCGAAAATTAGCCTATCCCAGGAATCGAGAATCTTATTCCCATTGAAATTCTCATTTTAATCAAAAAATTAGCACTTAAAGTTTGAGCACAAATCGGCTACGACATATAAAATTTTTGAAAAAAAAAATCAGTGCACAAGAAGGGGTGAGTTGAAAATGAGAAAAACAGGATTATTTTCGAAATAGCACATTTTTGACGCTCTTGGCTATTTTAAGCGATTTCTTCAACCGGAATAGCTAAAGTT